TCTCAATTAGAAAAAGTGAAAAAACTTCTACTTATGCTGAAATTACTCTTTCATATGGTTTAGACGAATACATTCTTCATTATTTTAGATTCTCCAATCAAGTTGTTAATAATAATTTAGACGTGAGTTCATTTTAGACTCTAGTGTGGTCACGACTCATTAGATACAGCTTATAATATAATATGGTTTCTTAATCCTATATTTTTACTATATAGTACCTAGTACCTAGTACCTACATTGGTGTAATTAATTAATCGCATCAAGACATCAACATTACTAACTTCGTATACTAGAAAAGTATTTTTAGAGTAGAACAAACAAAATTGTCATAAAACAATGTACATAGAATATACTCGGAAGAAGGCTGCAATGTATTCCTGTCAGAAACACTACCAACTTAGATTATGTTTAGTTTTCAAATACACCAGATTAACAAAAGTAGAAATGCATCAAGAGAACGATAAGATATTAAGCATAACAAACGTTTTAAAAAGTTTTAGACACGACATTTTTAACAAGATACAGTGAGAATCCAATGATGTATTCTTCAAAGTTCAAACACAGAGTTAGAACAATAACAGTTTAACGTAAAATCTAAGCAACAACTGTAGAACAGTGGATTAATTTACTTATCCCTGTCTTGTTGACATCCAGTATCTGCATAAAAACAATATTATAGTATATTAACCAGTCTTGTAAAAAATCCTTTTGAAAAACGTATTAAGATACTACTACTAGTATCGAATAAAAAGTATTAAAAATACTTTTAAAGTACTATTATAAAAATATATTTTACGAATACTCACTACGTAGGTATTTGAATACAAATACAAGTATTTTTTTTTTAATTTTATGCTATATAATATACGAAAAATTAATTGGCTGTCGAAGATGATCAATTAAATTATTTCATAAATAAATATAATATTAAATTAGCATGTGACAGAACTTAATAATTATCTACCGTTCGAGTAACCGTTCGCAGATATTACACTAGCGGTATCTACATACAATTAAAATAAAGAATTCTATAGTGAAAGAGAATCGACATGATCATGTTAATTTAACGTCCCATAACATCGAGGCTTATTATGAAAATAAGGCTCGTGTGACGAAACATTTCAAGACGATAATAATGTTTGAATGGTCAACAATGTGTGGCTGTAATAATAGCTACCTACATACGCATACTGAATTATTTGATTTACGGATTTACCTATACCTAGCGTAAGTTATTTAATGTAACTGTATTCGAATGTTGACATTTCGTAACTATATAAGTATACACTTTCTGTATGAATAGTTTTTAAACTATACCAAAATAAGATGCACGGGGCAAATTTAAAATTCAAAATTAAAATTTTCTGTACATCGTAATCATTGATAAGTTAAGTCACTATCTTTTTCAGCCATGTGATGTGCATGATAAAGCACTTCTTCGGAGGTAAAGTATGTGAATCAGTCGATATACGCAGCTTACAGAGCACATAAGTAATGGATTCGACAAATAAGAACACACTGGAGCCTTTTTAATAGATATAGCCAAAGCGTTTGATACATTTTGGCATGAAGGTCTGCTTTACAAACTAAAATGCCTTAATACACGATCTTCAATATCCTTAGATCTTTCCTCTATTCGCTCAGTTTCGCCGTCCAAATAGAAGACACAAATTCGGATATCAAAAGAATAAATGCAGGTTTACGGCAAGGATCAAAACTATCCCCAATACTCTTTAACATATCCGATTTCCCCCACAACACTGAACACGGAAGTAGCACTGTACAGTGTCTATATGACAGTGTCTATAAACAGTGTCATATACTCGTATATAGTTGTGACATAAGTATAAATGTATAATATGTTGGGGTCAAGAATATAATTCACATAATATTTATGAGCTAAAAATATGGACTCTAATAGGCTAATTTAATTCGTTTTAATGAAATTTTCATTTGTTTAAATGTTTTATTTTTCTTTATAAATATCACTTAGCTTAAAACTTAAGTATTGTAGGTACTTATATCCCAAACTTATATATCCAACAACAGTATCATTATGCTGAAGAGGAGTTTCAAACATATTATAATTATTGTTATTTATACCTAATTATATTATTTGTTTAGCTAAATCAATTTTATTTTATTAATAGTCTATGCGTAATTATTATTAATATTATTATTTTTTTATTGTTCTTAATTAACATCAGCTACAATGGCCATTAGTTACAATTTACAATTATAATTTTTTTTTTAAATTTTATTATACAGTTTAGTTTTGAGTAAGAATTTAAGGATTTGTGTGGTGGTGCCTGCATTTGGTCCGAGTGCTGCGTCTGTACTATTGTCTGTTAGTATATTTCAATAATAGATGTTCGTCACAATACTCTAAGGACTACCTAATTGTATTATATTGTTAGTCACCGGAACAAATTAAACCGGAAACCTAAAATCTAATAAATTGATGTGGTCATAGGTTTATAAAATATAATATTTAATTATGAAGAATAAATATCTCATGGAATTATTGAACTGTTCCAAGTTCTAACTGCATATAATAGATAAACGATGACAGCTGGTAGGTAAAAATAAATTTCAATATTGATCTCTCAATGGGCTCCAACTAAATACAATTTCGTATCATAAATCACCCTTGTTCTTTATAATTGAAGATTGAATCATTTTTTTACTATAAAACTTGTACCTACGCATACACAAAAAAACACAAGTCATTGTAAGTCAATGCATCCATTGTTTTACTAAGATTCGAAAAGACTTAACCTGGAAGTATAAAATAAGCACTGCAGGTCTGCAGTGTATAATACGAATCGAAACACAAATCCTTGTTCAAAAATGTTTTTGTCACGCATCAAATATATCAATAAAGTATTGTAATACAATTTTTTGTTGGGTATTTTTGGTCAGGTAAATATTTTAATATAATAATTAATAGATAACCCTAGATAACTTGGCACTTTTACGTATATTATACATTCGACTATACTCAATGGCATTTTAAAAATTGTAATACTTTTTACTCTTGACCCCATAAAGTAGGTAACAAATAGGACGTACCAAGTATCAGAAAAGATGCTGATGTAAAACATCAAATAATTTTTACTGCCACAAAATGTAGCCTCAAAACGAATATTAAAAAAGCGGGTTAGTGGATGTCACTCTGCTGTACAGTTGGTTACAAGTGGCCCAAATGGGTCAATGTAATGGATGGTCTTAAATTTGAATTCAATGATATAAATCATTGCATACGAAAAACGATCCTGAGCGAAGACTGACCATCAGCCTATAATATTACTAAGTAGGTATATTTTGTGATATTATTGTGAATAATTTTAGTATTAGACAATATATATATATATATATATATATATATATATATATATATTATATAATGTACATCAGTATAGGTAAGGTCAGGTGGGGTAAGAGCCTAACGGGACTAGAATCTAATCGGGTTATAAAAAATACAATCTTTCAATTTTAAAGTTGATTTCATGAAGATTACGAAGTTTAATAGTAATCGAATGTTGTATAATGTTGGTTAAACTTTAGGATATCAAACATAGCAGTTATCACTAATCATTAATCAAAAAGCTAATCAGTTATTTACTCGTATTTTTTTAAATCAACGATAATTTAACGGTCTAGTTAACCCACCTAAATTGCTCAAAATAATTTTAAATTAAGTAAATAAATGTTATTTTATATTTGTAATATTATTTCATTTAGGTATGAATTATGCTAATTGTATAATACAAATGAGTATTAGCCGATTATGCACTTCCGCCGTGTAAAGTTCCACACGGGGAACATGTTTTATGGGACACTTGCGACATGCATTATTTTGTTAAATAGCTAAAAAGATTTTATAAACATTGTTTGTGACTAAAATATTTATGAGTTACTACTAGGCCATTAGTTATTGAGATACATTTTTTTTTTTTAATGGTTTACATTAGGTTAATGCTTAAATTAGGTTATATAATTTTATTTCTTTTAGGAAGTTGATTATGTTTATGTTTGATTGGAGATCAGGCTGAAGGGCTTTACTTAATTGCTGTGGTATGTGATGCTTGGATCTTTCGTCTGCGAACTTGAAACAATCAATTAGTATATGTTTGACCGTGAACTCCACACCACATGCTTCGCATATAGGAGGGTCTTTTCTAGCCATGAGGTGGTTGTGTTGCAAAAGTATACCCAATTCGAAGACGATTCAAAATGGTTTCATCTTTCCTATTTAAGCCGGGATTTTTCCATACTTGGATATTGTTTTTTATTGTATTTAATTTGGTGTTTTGTTTAGTCCAGTGATTTTGCCATTTTTTGTATAGAACCTTCTGAGTGAGTTTTTTTAAATCAGTGAAAGTACTTAGATTTAGAATTTGGGTGTCGGTAGATGAGGCTGCTTTGGATGCTTCTTGATCTGCTAGTTCATTTCCGTCTATTCCACAGTATCCAGGTATCCATAGAAAAGATATCTCTATTCCTTTTTGACTTGCTACGTAGATGATTTCGTGGATAAGTTTGGATAAATCTGTTGGGTTTGTTAAGTTATTTATGCCAGTTAAGCTGCTTAGAGAATCGCTTAGTATCAGTGGCGCCCGAGATATAATTTTCAGATGTAGCAAGAAATAATTTTAGCCCATCCACCCACCGCACCCACCTTCCACATACTCAAAATTATATTACTTTATACATTTTTTCATATTTTAATTGATAATATTAGTAAATATTAAGGTATCCACCAATATAATCTGTGATGAATAATGAACATATTTCAAGTTAATTATTTTATGTTATTATATCCACCCACCCCTTATTTTCATGGTGTAGCGGTCGCTACACCTAGTAATAGGGTTGGGCGTTACTGCTTAGTATTAAATATTTATTGTGCGACGTTTCTTTGTTTATATTATATTATTTTGTAGTGCTTTGTATATAGCTATTGCTTCAGCTGTGTAAATATAACATTCGGGAGGAAGTTAGTTTTCAGTTACCATGGATATTCCAACGTTATTGTCTATTTTGGATGTATCGGTGTAAATGTGTTTGTAGTTATGGTATTTTTGTATTGTGTTTTGAAAAATGTTTCTGTACATAGATGGACTGGTGTTTTCTTTTTTGAATTCTGAGATTTCTAGGTTAATGACAAAATACATTTTCCACGGAGGGGAATTTGGAAATTTTCTTTTTACTAGGCGTTGTAGGTCTATTTGATATTCTTCAGCTTCTTTTATGTTTTTATCTAGGTATTTGTTTGAAGGGTTTTCAATATTGATTAGTATTCTGGCTGCATATAGAATGGTGTTGTATGTTCTTCTTAAGTCAGGTGGTAGTTCGTTAGCTAAGTTTCTCAAACTCTCGATGGCGCTGGTTTTGAAGCCCCCTAATGCATACCATAAGCCCGTGTTGAGTGGCGTATCAAACATTTTTAAGTAATTTTGGTTGGCAGTCCTGAATATAGTTGAACCATATTCTGCTTTAGATCTAATTAACGCTCTATAGATCGTTAATAGTGAAGAGGTGTCGCCACCCCAGGATGTGTGAGAAATGATTTTTATTATATTGAGTTTTTGTATTACTGAAGTTTTGGTGGATTATAGGTGAGGTAACCAACTAAGTTTTGAGTCGAATATGATACCTAGGATTTTGATTTTTTTTTTAATTGGGATCTGTCTGTTGTCTATTTTTATATGAGGTATTTCTTGGTTTCTTTTTTTTTTGAGAACAAAATATATTAAGATTTCTCGCTGGAAAATTTGATACCAGACTTATTGGACTACTTTTTGAGGCTTTCAATGGTTTTTTGTCGGTAGTATTATTGTACCGTATTTGTGTTTTGGCTTCTAATTAAAATGTTAAAATCATCTGCGAATAGACTGGTGTCCTTATTGTTTCAACGATATCATTTATTGCTAATAGAAAGATAGTTACTGCCAATGAGGATCCTTGAGGGATACCGTTTTGCTGTGAGAAAAAAATTGAAAGTGAATTACATACTTTAACTTGGAAATGCCGGTCTATTAGGAAGTCTTTTATATAATTATTCATGTTGCCATTTGTTATTATTTCACTTAGTAACATGAGGACACTGTACCTCCATACTGAGTCGTAGGCTTTGGATATGTCAAGACTTACCATTCCTAGTGTTTGTTTGTTTTCAAGAGCTTGGTCAATTTCAGATTTAATTATGTGGAGGTTGTCAATTGTGGATATTGATTGGCGAAAACCACTTTGTTCTTTATTTAAAATTTTATTTTTTTCAAGGAACCAAATGAGTCTATAATTTAAAATTTTTTCAATTATTTTAGTCATAGTGTTTAACAAAGTTACTGGTCTGTAGCTGTCAACGGAGTGTTAATTTTTTCCGGGCTTAATGATTGGAATAATTATGCCTCTTTTCCAGTTGTTTGGAAGTTTTCGTGTTCTGTATATCGTATTGTATATGTGTAGTATGTGGTTTTTGGCGGTGTTACCTAGGTTATGAATGAAGCAGTATGGTATTCAATCGGGACCGGGGCTTTTACTTCTGCATTTCAAGGGTGCTACTTAAATTTTCTTGGAAAAAAGTTCATTTAAGATAATTTGATCAGGACAAAGAGGGTTAATGTCGGATTTTATTGGTGTGTTTTCTGATGTTGTTTTTATATCGTCAATGAACGAATGTTTGTAGATCTTGTCGCTGAAGTTGTCACGGAAATAAGTACCAATTTTTTGGGCAACCTCTTCTGGTTCGGATGTTGTTCCAAACGCATCGGTTATGTGAATTTCCTGGTCACGATTTAAATCTTTAAGTGATCTAATTTTATTCAAAATTAGGGATGGGTGTATGTTATTATTTATAGTACTTGTGAACATTTTCCATGCTTCCTTTTTACTATTTTTGATTAAGAATTTTGATTTTGCTCTTAATTTTTTTAGTTGAATAAAGTATTCTTGAGTTTTATTTTTTTTAAATGTGTTCAGAGCTTTTTTTTTATTTTTTATCGCTTCTTTAATCGCATCATTCCACCAAGGAACTTTTGGTTTAAAGGTTTGATTTGTGTGGCTTTCGATAGTTTTTTCCGCTGTTGTAGTTAATATTGATGTGAATGTTCTGACTATATCATTAATGTTTAGTTGGTTAGTGGTGGGTAATTTGGAAACTTCGTCATCAACCATTTCGCTGAAAAGTGTCCAGTTTGGGTTTTTAAGGTTCCATCTTTGACTTTTGTTTTTATTTGATTCGCCTGTCCTAGGGGTGAAAAATATTTTGATAAGAATATGATCACTAATGAATATATGAGGAAGTCCTTTCCATTCAATTCTATTAGCGAGCGAGGATGAACAGATAGACAAATCAATACATGAAAAGTTTCCGTTAGCTATATTAATGTGGGTGGGTGTTGAGTCGTTAAGTAACGTTATGTTATCCTTTTCAAGTAGTTTTTCAATTTCTTTCCCTCTGGGGTCTGTTTTGATTGATCCCCATATGGGACTCAGGGACTGTGAGCATTAAAATCACCTAAAAGATGAAGGGTGTGGGGAGTTGTTGAATGATGTGTTCTATACCCATTGTGCTGAATTTTTTTGGCTGGGGAGATATATGTTGCATATTGTGAGTTTTTCTTTCATTTCAATTTGAACCGCTAGGACTTCTAGTTCACTGTGGATGTTTATAGTTTGACTTGGTATAAATGCTTTGACATAGATAGCCGTCCCACCACTAGCTCTACCTGCTTCTTGACGGTTTTTGCTGTAACCTTTGTAATTTTTGAGGGGGGCTATGTAATTTTCTTTAAAGTTTGATTCTTGAAGACATATTATTTTTGGATTATGATGATGTATTATTAGTTCGAGTTCATATTTTTTTTTTTTTGGAAACCATTAATGTTCCATTGGATAATAGCAGGGTTTGTATTAGCCATATTTTTTTTTATTTTTTCATTTTTTTTTTAAATTTGAATTAGCTTTGTATTTATTTATTAATATGAGGAAGATGATACTTTCTGTGCGTGGTTTTCTATATCGTATTCTTCGGTGGTGGGAGTTAGGTGATTGTTGCTACTGGATGGTGTTTTATTTTCAGTGACGTTTTTGCAATGGTTTGTAGTGTGACCGGTTTGTTTGCATAGATAACAAATTACGGTATCGTCAGACAGAAATATCCGATAATCAGTTTGGTCAAAGTTAATTAAAATTGAACTCGGCATTTTTTCGTTGTCATCCGGGTGTATATTTTAATTGTCGTCGAAAACTGCCTATATGATCATACTACTCATTACCAAAACCGGCTTTCATGAATGTAATCGGAGAAATAATTCTAATCTGGATATTAGTAATTGCTTTTGTGATTATATCATGTGGTATTATGGGTTGGACGTTAGATATGATTATTCATTTGGCCGGTTTGATAAGACGGCGGTACGTTATTTCTATATTGTTTACGACTATATAAGGTTGCTTGGTGATAATTTGTTCAACAATGTCCTTGCTGGAGAAGTATATACAAAACCTGTTGTTAGATATACGCGATGCGAATTCAATATTTTTTGGATTAGTTATTTGACTGAATGCTTTTATATACTCAATTTGAGGGACGTCTTCAATTGGGTTAAATACTATAGCTTGATCTTTTTTGGGAGTAGTGAGTTTGCGGTTGTTTCTGCGAAAGTTGGATTTTGGTTGAGAGGAAGTTGAGTTAAGATTATTTGAGTCGAGAGTGTGCATGTTGATGGACATAGCGGTAGGAGAGGTTTCCTACTATGTTACCTACTTTGGTTGTGGGGGGACAAAAAAAAATAACATACCTTCTTAATTGCGGTGTATAATACTGCTATCGGAAGCTATAAAATGCGATAGTCAACTATAGCCCCGGAATACACGTGTGTATCGGTCGGTTGCTTAATACGTACTGCCTTGTATTATATTTTTACGCTTTTTGAGCCAACAAATAAAATTGTATTGACATATATAGAAAAAAAAAAAATAAACAAATTGAAAATTTAAATTATCCATAAACAGCGCAAAATGAGTCAAAATATTTTTATCAAGTATAGAAATTGATAAAATAAAATAAATACATGGTGTAAATTTCAAGTACCTAAGTATCTACGGTTATTTGTTTTTGAATTACAACAAAATAAGATAAATAGCTACACGAGAAATCGAGTGAATATCCAATATTGTAAACATTTTAACTTCGAACGCTCATAAAAAATTAATTTGACATTCCGGTAGACATTTTATTGTTGATAAACATACAGGCAAACTTATGAGGAAACTTTTATTACATTTGTTAGAGCTCGAGTCGTGTTATCGTACGCTGTCGGAATAGAGACCTAATTATTTATCTTATATTATATGTCACCAGTCGCGTATCGAAGTTTGTACCGAGCACAACGAGCGGCTCCACAATTCTTATTATATTTATAATAAAAGTATACAGTCCACTTGAGGTCTATGTTTCTTTTTCTTAAAGGTCTTAGTTCCTCTTAAAACAACATTCTCAAATCTTAGATTTAAAAAGAAAAATGTTTATGAATTTCTAACTCAAAATAATTTGCACATTTTCGTGATATTTACGTGTTTTGTCAACATTTGAACTTTAAATGCATATAAAAAAAGGTGGGTTAGTGGATTTCGCTCTGCTATACAGTAGGTTACAAGTGGGTCACTGTAATGGATGGTGTTAAATTTGAATTTAATGATATATCATTGTATAAGAAAAACGATTCATATTATGATAATACAAAGTATATTTGATGATATTATTGTGAATAAAGTAATTTATATTTAACCAATTTACGTGGCTCCTAGTATATTGTTACAATAGTAGTTGAAAAATATTAAAAATCCTTAGTCACAGTTTTTTTTCATAAGCATTTAAAGTTCAAATCTTGACAAAACACGGAAAAATTACAAAAATTAGAAAATTATTTTGAGTTGAGAATTCATAAACATTTTTCTTTTTAAATCTAAGACTTGAAAATGTAATAGAAGATTACTCATAAGCTTATCTACCTTTATCAAAAAAAAAAAATGTCTACAAGCAAATCAAATTCAATTTTTATGAGCGTTTGAAGTTCATATTTTTACAAAATTGGATATTCACTCGATTTCTCATGTTGCGGTTTTGTTATTTTATTGTTGTCCAAAACGAATAACATGTCTGCCATCACCTTTTGGATCGGTAAAAATGTTTCGATTTTTGACCTTGAGGGTGGTTTCTGTAGGTAACAAATTTTATCTATAGCTGGTACTTATTACTGTAATCTCTTGTTTTTGGCAAAAGTTATTTCAAACTACCCTATTACTAAAATAAAAATAAATTATTATAATTATAATATAAAAATATAATATAATAATATATCACTTGTGGCTTGTCGTGGAGCGTGACTGGGAGTAAGTAACGGCCACAGCAACTAGCTCCCAGATGGGTGACCACCCAGGTTCATAGTAATTAATAAAAACCCTGCCTACACGTGTTTGCTACCTACCGTAACAACCGTAACAATCGTAAAACAAAAACAACCTACCGTACCAACCTTACCACTACCACAGTTCATAACCACTACAACAGCTAATGACCTTAGTCACCGGGCTTAAGTTTAATTAAAAAAAAGGTGGGCAAGTGGGTGTCGCTCTGCTGTACAGTAGGTTACAAGTGGGTCACTGTATAATGGATGGTATTAAATTTGAATTCAATGATATAATATCATTGTATAAGAAAAACGATTCTGAGCGGTGATGGTATGTCAGTCTATGTATAAGGCATATTATATACATATCTATGGTATTAAACAAAAAATTGACCTATAATAGGTACCTATAATAAATTCCAAATTAATCATATCACAATATCCATTAGATACTTATAACGCGTTATACATCAACAAAAACCGTGATACTATCATAGATATATAATAGTACACTTTAGAAGTTTCAAGTACCCACGAATAGTATTATTCAATCACAACAAAATAACTAAAATCGTAATTCTTGGTTTAAATATGAAATTTTGTCTAAATTTGAAATTAAAATGTCTGTAAAAAATAAGTGTGTTTATATATTTTTTAGATTTTTTGGTTACAGTATGAATTATTTAAGAGAATCTTTGTTTTAAATTTTCAACTCTTAGTTATAAAAACTGAACATTTTATAATTTTTTAATTCCAACGATTGATAATTTTCGAGATTTTGATAAATTTTGTCAAAATTCCAACTTTAAATGCTTATAAAAAAAAATCGTGCCTATGTATTTTTAATATTTTTCAACTACTATTGTAACAATATATCAGGAGCCTTGTATTAAATTTTTACACTTTTTGGCCCAA